ACAGATAAACAAACAAACAAATTAGAGTATCAGGCAAAAAAAAAAAAAAAAAAAGGAAAAAGAAAAAGTGGTTGTAGATATGATTAAGGTAAGGATCTGAAAGTGAGATCAACGTGGATTTAGAGTGAGCCCTGAATCTAATTACAGTTGTCTTTATAAGGAAAAGGTAGAGGGATACTTGGGACACACGTACACAGAGAAGAAAGCCATCACTGAGGCAGAACTGGAGGGATGCAACCACAAACCAAGCAGCACTGGAGCCGGCAGACACTGGAAGAGACAAGGAAGGGTGTCCTTCCAGAGCCTTCAGAGGGAGCGTAGCTCTGCGCGCACCTTGACTTCAGACTGCAGGCTCCAGAGCTGTGAGAGAATGAATTTCCGTTGTTTTAAGCTACGCAGCTTTTGATAATTTCTATGACAATTTTAGGAAATGAACACTCCTCGCAACTACACCCACCAAACCAAAGAGACAAGTTCAGCTTCGATAAACTTTTCCAGAATCTTGCCATCAGAGATGGGAGAAAGACGCAGGTCTAATTTCTGCAGGGATGGAAGCTCTTTCAGATTTTGTGTTGTGTCCGTTTTGATTCCTATGTGGGGGCTACACTATGATTCCTATGTGGGAGCTATGCTATAATCTTCTCAGTATTCCAGGGCCTTTCAAGATCTGAATACGGCCCCAGGAACGGGGACAGGGAGAGGAAAGAGAGAGAAGAGACAGAGAATAAGAGATCAAGGGACAGAGAGGAAGAAAATCACTATTTGATCTGTCCAGAATGCCTGAGTGCCTGGCTAAAGAAGACATCAGAGGAGAAAGGCTGGGGATGTTCTCTCCTTCCAGCCAGAGCGTGCAGGAGGGACACTCGGCTGCATGAGAAACGGGGCTGGTTAATGAGGAAGTTATCCTGTCAGTTGGAGGAAAGAGGGGCCGTGGGCGTGGAGGAACTGCCAGTCAGAAGGCCTGGACTTTGTATGGAAACCTCTGTCTCTGTGTGGCGCCTTACCGCCCCCTCACAGAAGAGCCAGGCAGCGGCTTGTCAAGGGCAAAGCTGATGGGATGACACTGGCTGAGAGACAGTGGCCCAAGACGTATTAATATATTTGCTGTAGGAAGAACAAGTTGGTGAGACCTCTCACAACATCTGAGTGAAATGCAGGAAAGAGAAAGCGAGTGTTATTTAGAGACCTCTGGGCCAGGCATTGGCATACGGTGGGTGTCTCTGTAAGGCTGTGTGATGGTAGAGAATGGGGGTGCCACATACCCCCCAGGTCACGGAATCAGAAATCTGAAACCTTAGTGATATCTGACCCCATGGAGAAAAGGTGGAAGAGACTCTTAGATGTTCTGTGACCTGTGCAGAAGCTTCTTAGAACAACACTCTGAATGATGGAGAAAACTTCCTATTAGGCAGGAAACAAATTTTAAAATGTTCCTTGGGGCTGGGCGCAGTGGCTCACAGCTGTAATCCTAGCACTTTGGGAGGCTGAAGTGGGCAGATTATCTGAGCTCAGGAGTTTGAGACCAGCCTAGGCAACATAGTGAAACCCTGTCTCTAGTAAAATAAAAAAAATTAACCAGACATGGTGGCTCATGCCTATAGTCCCAGGTACTCAGGAGGCTGAGGCACGAAAATCACTTGAACCTGGGAGGTAGAGGTTGCAGTGAGCTGAGATCACGCAACTGCACTCCAGCCTGGGCAACAGTGCAAGACTCTGCCTCGAGAAAAAAATAAAGTGTTTCTCGGACCATCCTGGAGACAAAGTATGAATTGATGACTAAAAGCAGAGACTACATTGTCAGGCAGCCCTGGGTGCAAATTCTTACTCCTGTGTGACCCTGGGCAAGCAAATGTACCATTCGGGAACTCAATCTGGCAAGTTGGTATCTCCGTGCATCATATAATGGACATCAAGGTAGCACCTACCTCAGGGTTCTGAAATGAGGATTTACATGAGAAATGTTTCCTTCAGAACCTAGTCAGTAGCAAACACTTCACATATGGTGGCTTGAATCATCATTTGTATCTTTCACTTCTTGTTGCTATTAACAGCCCAGAAATAGCTCTGTGTTTACTAAATGTGGCCTTAGACTAGTCACCGCCCCTTTTGGAAGGCTCGGTTTCCTCATCTGTGAAATGGGGGCAATGATTCTGACTTCACAGGGCTGACACGAGGATTATAGGATATTAGGGATGTTGAGACCCACTGAAAGGCAGTTCATAGACGCCGGTTCTTTCCTCTTTTGTATGAGGCCGTCCTGCCATTGCAGTGGAATGAATGGAGCAAGAAAAGAAAGTCTGGACTCTGATATGTAAATGAACTTGGTGGCCATCCAGCATCAGGGAATGCCATTGGTCCACCTTGGGCCCACCCCCAGGATGTGCAGCCAATGACAGCGTTGTCTCAGCCCGCTATTCTTCTGGTTTCTCCTGGCTTCCGCAACACCCCAGAGGCCCAGGACGCAAGCCCATGAGTCTCCCATGCAGAAGTCTTAAGAAAGGGCGGCTGTACCCCATTGCAAACCCTCAATCGCTAAGGGCCCATGGTGGGGACAGGACTCACCAGCTCCATGCACCGCCGGCTGGCCTCCGCCTCGCGCTGCATCAGCTCTTCCATGTCGGCCTTCAGCTCCTCCAGGCGCCGCTGGTAGTATTGGCTGCTCTCCCGCTGCTGGGACTCAGATGTGGCCGCCTGCGAAAGCTCCTCCCCCATCTTGATCAGGCTGTCCCGAAGCCGGATCACCAGGACCTGGGAGGGGCAGAGACACATGCCCACCTTGGAGTTAGAGGCCAGGGGTATGAAACAGGGAGCCTCAGGAAGAGAAGTCCTTTGCCAAGTTTCCTGTGTTTTTATAAGCAGGATGAGAATACTGATGTCTGCTACAAAAATGAAGAATTTAACAACATACGAAAAATGATGGCCAGGTGCGGTGCTCAGGCCTGTAGTACCAGCACTTTGGGAGGCTGAGGCAGGCAGATCACCTGAGGTCAGGAGTTAGAGACCAGCCTGGCCAACATGGCAAAAACCCCTCTCTACTAAAAATGCAAAAATTAGTCGGGCATGGTGGCATGTGCCTATAATCCCAGCTATTGGGAGGCTGAGGCACCAGAACTTATTGAACCTGGGAGGCAGAGGTTGCAGTGAGCCAAATTCTTGCCACTGCACTCTAGACTGGGCAACAGAAAGAGACTCATCTCGGGGGGAAAAAAAAGATAATGGCTATTCCGAGAGGCAGTGTAGCATATTTATGAGAACTCTCACCCCAAGACGCTCTGGGTTCAAATCCCACCTCTACCTCTTCCTGGCTGTGTGACCTTGGGCAGGTTACTGAGTCTCTCTGAGAGACAGGGATAATGATAACACCTGTGTCCCAGGAACACTGTCAGAATCTAATTCCTTGGTATGCAGAAGGCTTGGGTGCCTGGCACATAGGATGTGCCAGATAAGGGTTTGGAATTATTAAATTTTTTTAACAGCTCCTATTTATCCCAAGGGGCTGGTGCAATGAAGAGAGAACTATGCTGAGGTCAAAAACCTTTACCCCACATGGGTTTTTGTTTCCTGATTTACAAAATGAGGGTGTTCAGGTAATCTCCCACGAGCTTCAGCCTTACTATTTTATGACACTTTTCCTTTCCTGGTGGCAGAGGGGATGGAGACTCCTTGAGGACACAATGAAACAATAGAGAGAAAAGTGTTTTGGCCTTCATGAGTGCCACGGAAAACAAACCCAAGGACTGTTCTGCAGAATTCATTAGTTGGCCGGCCAGCCTGGAGCCAATCGATCCTGATGAGCAAACACTCCAGTGTTGACAGAAGATGGGGCGCACATGAATATTTCAAGCCCCTGCTAAGGACTCTGAGCCCTTCTTCTGTAGCTGCAGGCAGTGGGGATAGCAGCCTCCAGATCAGACACTGAACCCTAACCTAAAAGAAATGCTTTCCTATTTGGTTCACCTCTCATATGAAGTTCAGCAACAATTCCAAGAACAGCAGGAAGAGTGTAAGGAGTTCTCAAACTGTCTTTGAAGTGTCCCATCTCTACACCTCCAGGACCCAGGATTCTACTAAATTCAAATAATGGTGGCAGAGGGGAAAATTGAATTTGGAGATAGAATCTTTCCATTTGAAGTTTCGCTACACTCATTTTCTTTTCTCCTGTGTTCTCGTTTCACTATGCTGGAACCAGGTTTTAAAATGGCATGTGATATGGCCCAACTTTACATATTTAATCATTTAAAATATAGTAGATCAAAGTTTCATGGTGATCTACAGAGACACTCATGCCTTGCAGGATCCCTTGAGCAATTTCTGGGAAACACTGAGGGTCAAAGCAAAGAAGAATTTCTCTCTGTTCTTCATCTATAACAGGCTTATTGGAGACCAAATGCCCCTAGGGAGATCAGGGGGAAATGTTTCAGAATGAGGAATGCAGCCTCCCAGCTGTCTAGACACACTGTCTTGGTGCAGTGAAGCCAGCTGGCTGCAGAGAAGTTGGAACCTGAAACCAGGAAGAAGCGAAGGTCGGGTGTCAATCTACCTTGGCCCATACACTGCCTGGCTTTTTCTTGAGCAAGTCACTTGACCTCTCTGGGGTCATCTTCTCATCAGTAAGGCTCATCCCACCAGCCTCACAAGACTGTATGAAACATCAAGTGGAGTGGCTGATGGGAAAGGATTTTGACAATGGTGATGTCTTCTGTAAATGTCCCATGTCATTGGCCTACAGAGCTGAAGAAGTAAACACCTGTGTTCCCAGCTCAAGGGCAATGGGAATGTAATCACCAGCCGTACTCCAGTGCATCCAAGTCTTACGTGTCCTTCGAGGTTCCGCATTAATGCCACCTCCTTCCAGAAGCCTTCCTGATTCTTGAGTCTTAAAAAGATCTCTATCCCCTAAACATCACAGCCCTCTCTCCATATTACAGATATATATATCTTACCCACATGGCTTACGAAGATATATGCTTCTGAAGGCAGGTCTGTGTCATACATCTGTCTTCTGTGCACCTAAAACAGGGCCTAGCACACACTGGGTGCAAAATAAGTTTCTGTTCAAGATGAGTGTTGGGCATGTAAGTGGTTGAGTAGCTGGGTGGAGATAGGAAGAAGTGGATCAATACATAAAAGAATGGGCAGACGGAGGGGTTGAGGGCTGAAGAAAAACTAGTAGAGGAAGAGAAGAAAAAGTGAAGGGAAAAGGAGGAACAGATGGAAGGAAGGATGGATGAATGGGCCCATGAGGGTGGAAGGAGGTGGGGGGAGGTACATGAGGATGGCTAGGTAAATGGTAGGTGGCTTGAGGGATGGTATAATGGAAGGAGGGGGGAGCTTGGGTGAGAAGTGGGTGAGTAATGTGTATCTAGATAAAGGCATGTGAGTACATAGATAAGTAGCAGAAGGATGAATGAAGCTTACACAAAACTCTCCCTGTTCTTGGCGCAAGCATTATGTATGTATCACGACGTACCTCAAATCTCTTAATCTGCACCTTCTGGAACTCCGTCTTATTCTCCAGGTCACAGATGACTGCCTCCTGCCTGCTGACGATGGCTCGATCCACGGTGGACTGCTCCAGGTGCTCAATGCGCATCTGAGCCACCTGCAGCTGTGGGTACAAGAGAGAAGTCTACTGGCCATCTGCTGTCCTTGATACCAGGACAGAGACACAGGCAGGACCCAGCCTGGGAGGGTGGGGGGAGCTATTCACACCACCTCCTTCTCTGCTCAGGTGTGCTGCATGGTAAACATCTGCACAGGCAAGAATTGCCGGGTCTCAATCTTGGGACCCTCATTGGACCCTCACACCAGACCCTGATCCTGGGTCTCAGGTGCTGGGAGGTGATGCTTCTTTTGTCTTCAGAATTCAAAACAAGACTTTTAATCAGTGCTTCCCTCCCCTCCTTCCCTGCTCTGATCAATAAGCAAAGCCAGTCTGTGGGCAACAAGCTACACCATCAAAAGACACAAGCAAAGGTGGATTTGGGAGCCAGGTTTGCGCCTGGTGTGTGAGTCTGGGAAAGTCAGTTCTTTTGCTTGAGTCTCAGTTTCTCCATTTTTCTTGTGAGGATTGAAGGAGATTAGTGACTGGCGCATAACAAGCACCCAGCAGGTGGCCACTGCTGCTATGTCATTGGTTGTGCATGCTGTTACTCAGCACCCACAAAAAACTGCTTGAGACCTGGTCACTCCAACAGTCACTTTAAGCAGGCACATGCAACAGTTCTAGAAGAGTTTTGAAAATTTCATGGATATCAGCATCCGTCTGGGTCACGATGGAAAGCCAGACATGTTTGCAGGGACCCTGGCTTCAAAGGAAGATTTCACAAAAGATCATCCCTCTGTTCTTTGTTCTTGGAGTCATTTCTCAGAGGGAGAAAATTCTATACTGAATGGCTGAGTCTTAGTGCATGGGGCATGCTTGGATTCAACAAGCCAGGCAAGAGTTAATGAGTGTGAGTGTGTGTGCGTGTGTCCGTCTCTCTAACGGACTGTCTCAATTCACCAGGCACACAGCTAGAATTGAGTATTTGGATGAAATAACGAATAACAGAATAAAAGAAACAGTTTCCAGGGTCCAAAGTATAAGTGTGTGCCCAGGGAGAATCCCTCTCTTCCTCCCTGTGATGGTTAATACTGAGTGTCAACTTGATTCAGTTGAAGGACACAAAGTATTGATCCTGGGTGTGTCTGTGAGGTTGTTGCCAAAAGAGAGTAACATTTGAGTCAGTGGGCTGGGGAAGGCGGATCCACTCTTAATCTGGTGGGCACCATCTCCTCAGCTTCCAGCCAATATAAAGCAGGCTGAAAAATGTGAAGAGGACAGAGAGGGGCCTAGCCTCCCAGCCTACAGCCTTCTCCCGTGCTGGATGCTTTCTGCCCTTGAACGTCGGACTCCACGTTCTTCAGTTTGGGGACTCAGACTGGGTATCCTTGCTCCTCAGCTTGCAGACAGCCTACTGCGGGACTTCGTGATCACGTAAGTTAATACTTAACAAATTCCCCAGCCAGGCCTGGTGGCTCACACCTATAATCCCAGCACTTTGGGAGGCTGAGGAGGGCAGATCACCTGAGGTCAGGAGTTCAAGAACAGCCTGGCCAACAATGGTGGAACCCATCTCTACTAAAAATACAAAAATTAGCCGAGCGTGGTATGGGCACCTGTAATCCCAGCTCCTCGTGAGGCTGAGGCAGGAGAATCACTTGAATCGGGGAGGTGGAGTTTGCAGTGAGCCGACATCGTGCCACTGCACTCCAGCCTGGGTGACAGAGCGAGACTCCATCTTAAAAAAAAAAAATGGAGGTCGTGTCCCCAGAAGGTCTCCTCACATTTTTCTGACCCCCCTTTTCCTCTCCATGTGCATCATAGCCAGCTGGACATAAATTTGGGTTCAAAACAATAAACTCATATATATATATATATATGATATATATATATATATATGTATATGTATATGTATATGTATATATATCTGTGATATATATATATATATATATATATATCTCCTATTAGGTCTGTCCCTCTAAGAAAACCGTGACTAACACAAGTATAGGGTGGCTCTGAGCATACTTGTTCTTGAAGCTTCTGCTTCTCCTTCTTGGCTTCCTCCAGCTGCAGCTGGAGTTCTTGGATCTGCCCAATGTCAGCAGCAGACTGGTGAGATAAAAATATATATATATATCACCCTGAGACCATAAGCCTTGCCGGGAAACCACCCCTGAAAATCCCTACTTTCCCCACCCACAGATGTCTACATCTCTCAGAGCTTCTATGATAATAGCTGTTTCCCAAAAATTACCTCTCACATCCTCCTCAACATCTTTCATTTCAGTGTTCACTGAGTCACGCCAATTATATAAGCCCCTGGATTTGGTCAGCTGTCCAGCATTTTATTATACATCCCTGAGAACCCAGACAGAAGTGGGCTGGCCATGGCACTAGGACCAGATTCCGAGGGATGAGAGCAACTCGGAGGGTCGGGATACTGGGGTTCTAGACCTGGATCCTGGCCTCAGCAATCTACAGAGCCTCTCTGCACCTCAATCTCTGCATCCGTAAAATGGGCTGATAGTCTCTGATCAGCGTTTCAGTATTGTGTTTGTTCAGAGATTAAATGAAGCAGGGGAGAGGAAAGGCTTTTTGAAAAAATAGAACCTGCCAGGCACAGTGGCTCACACCTGTAATCCCAGCATTTTGGAAGGCCGAGGTAGGCAGATCACTTGAGGTCAGGAGTTCGAGACCAGCCTGACCAACATGGTGAAACCCCATCTCTACTAAAAATACAAAAATATGTGGTGGCATATGCCTGTAATCCCAGCTACTCAGGAGGCTGAGGCAGGGGAATTGCTGGAGCCTGAGAGGCAGAGGTTGCACTCTGAGCCTGGTGTGAGCCCAGATCACACCATTGCACTCCAGCCTGGGCGACAGAGTAAGACTCTGTCTCAAAAAAAAAAAAAAAAAAAAAATGGAACCAACTGTTGAACTTCATTACCTCTGATGAGAGGAATTCTAGAGGGTAGAAGGATCTCTTTACTTTCTATTTCTTATGTCTTTATTATTTAAATTATTTATTATGGACATATGCATATACTGCCTTTGTAACTGAACAAATAAACCTGTCTTTTGGGCAAAAATTAGTGTGATTCAGCTGGGTGCAGTGGCTCAGGCCTGTAATCCCAGCACTTTGGGAGGCCGAGGCAGGCGGATCACTAGGTCTGAAGTTCAAGACTAGATTGGCCAACATGGGGAAACTCCATCTTTACTAAAAAAAATACAAAAATTAGCTGGGCATGGTGGCTTGTGCCTGTAATCCCAGCTACTTGGGAGGCTGAGGTAGGGGGATTGCTTGAACTGGGACCCAGGAGGCGGAGGTTGCAGTGAGCTGAGATTGCGCCCCTGCACTCCACCCTGGGCTGCGGAGAGAGACTCCATTTCAAAACATAAAAATTAGTGTGATTTGCAAGTGTAGACAGTGACAGATGCTATTTTTGAGGTGGTTGTTACCATGTGGGTGATATAATCAATTGTTTTGTTATTGTTATTCTATGTCCAGCAGAAGTCCCTTCAGATCCAGCCTCTGTCAGATGCACTCAGAGTGTGGCAGGCATTTGACCCTGGACGTCCTCTGGAAGGTATACGGCAAGAAAGACACTCATTGCGCCAGGAGGGAGCTGTCCTCCCCATTATGCAGTCGTTATGTGGAGATCTACTAGGGGTTCCACATCACACCCTTGGCTTCACCCCAAAGCTTCTATTTGACCCATGCCGCCCTAGTGCCTCCTGATCGTCTCCCAAGCCCATCCATCCTCTCCTCCTCATCCTCACTCCATCTGCCAGGTTGGAGTTGTCTTTCCCCTGGACAAGTTCAGTTTCATTTATTCAACAGTGATTTACTGAGCACCTCGAGGCCAGACGCTCTTTTTGGCTCTGAATTCAGCATTGGACAAGGCAGAGGAGAACCCTGCCATTATGGAGCTGACTGTCTGGGGTGGCAAGCTGGCTGGTCCCCTCCAACTGCTCTTGCCCCGAGAAGTTTGCCAATTGATTCCCTTCGACCATAAAATAAAACCCAATCTCATCTCAGCCTCTAAGCCCCCGATCCGATCCTCCTCTGTCACTGGGCCTGTCTTGTGCCACATTCTCCTCACTGGACTCCTTTCAGTCTCTCCAAGACACCGTCACAGGCCCTTCGCATGTGCTATTTCCTCTGCTTGGAATGCACCTCCAATCCAATCTAAGTAACTCCTGCTCTTTGTTCAGATCTCCCTCCAAGTGACATCTACTCTGAGAAACCTTTCCTGACTCCCAACCTAGGTCAGGATTTGCAGAATTTTGTTCATTTCCTTTCTGGACTCTTGGCTCAGTTTGCAAGTCTCCCCCTGCTCTGGTGACCATATGATAAGGTCCTCCCGGCCCACTAAACTGTGAGGTGCATGAGGGCGGGAATGGGATGTGCTTTTCATCACCACAGTATACTTAGCATTTTTCACAGTGTCTACATAGCAGGGGTTTAGTAAATATTGAATAAATAGATATAGATATATAGGAATAAAGAAAGAAAGGGGGGAAAGAAAGAAAAAGAAGAAAGAAAGAAAGAAAGAGAGAGAGAGAGAGAGAGAGAAAGAAAGAAAAGAAAGAAAGAAAGAAAGAAAGAGAGAGAGAGAGAGAAAGGAAGGAAGGAAGGAAGGAAGGAAGGAAGGAAGGGAGGGAGGGAGGGAGGGAGGGAGGGGGAGGGAGGGAGGGAAAAGAAAAAGAAAAGAAGAAGAAGATTGTGGTTGGATAGGTGGATAGGTGAATAAATGGGTAAGTGGGTGGTAGGATGGATGAATTGATAAATGGATGAATGAATGGTTAAATGAATGGATGGCTGTGTGGATTGATAAATGATTGGAAAGATGGATGGATGAATGGATAGATGGATAAATGGTTGGCTGGATAGATGGATGGGTGGTTGGGTGGATGAGAGGATGATTGGATGGATGGATGGATGGATGACGGATGGATGAGTGAGGGAGTGAGTGAGTAGATGGGTGGATAAATGAATGCTGAACTGATGAGCAGATGAATGGTTGAAGGGTGGGTGGATGGGCAGATGCATGAATAAATCCAAATCTTTCCTGGTGGACTTGTCTTCCAGACATGCACATACCATCTGAAGGTGACATTGTCCTCCCTTAGGACCACAGGAAATTTACAATTCCTATCTATCTCTGTGCACTTATCCCTCCAAGATGTTAAGACCAGGGAGTAGTCCAGCCACATCACCCTCTTGACATTCCACATTCACCCCATCCCAAGTCCCTGAGATTGTCCCGCCAAGGTCCCATTCACTACCTGGGCAATGAGGTCCTTGTGCTTCTGCATCAGCTCATTCAGGTCATCCTGGTCCTCATCAATGCGCTTCAGGAGGTCCGCCTTCTCAAACTGCAGCCTGTACAGCTGCTCATCCACCTGGCGGGGGGCAGTCAGTGGTCAAGGCGAGGTGGGAGGGCAAGGGATGGGCAGCAGGGGCCAGCGGAAGAACAAAGAGGGGCTTGCTTATGGGTGTGTGAGGTGAGTGACCATCAGCGTTTAGGAGTGGCTGTGGTTACCAATGTACATGGTAGGTATCACAGCTTGGTGGTGGTGGTGTGTGTGGGTGTGTGTTTATGTATACCAGGCACTGCATGTGACTATGAATCAAGGTGTATGTGTGTATGTGTGTATGAATTTAGGTCTGTGCAATCCCACTTGGGAATCTGTGCGTGCATATTTTAAATGTGCATAGTACATATATGAAAATGCAAACCCCTGTACTCTCCCTGAGAACAGAGACTTTGTCCTGTTCACAGATATAACCCAGCAGCAAGCACCAGGCCTGTCCTATAGCAGGTGCTCAATAAATATGTATTGGCTGGATGAACAAACTTGGAGGCATGGGTTACCTACAAGGAGGAGGGCATTTATTTTGTATGTGTGCCTGGTGATTGCATGTGACTATGTACATTCATTCCCGTGTATACACGTGTGTGTGTGTGTGAATACTTGTAGGCAAGTTCCAACAAAATAAGGGGCAAAAAGGCCCATAGAGAGCTTGACATAAACATTTGCCTAAAAATCCTATACTTAAACTATAGGGTTTTATACATTGAGTATAATACATTTAAGCCAACCCCGTACACCCAGACAGGGGACTTAGAAACCTATGTCCAATTTCCACCAAAATAATAAATTGACAATATACGTCCATGTGTCCCCATTCAGGGGTGAGCACAGAATAGTCCCATAATAAATGGCTGAATCATCTGGTAATGAGCCTAAGCAGGTCAAGAGATGCCCTTGTCTCCATTTACCAGAGGGGACATGTGGTAGCCCCACAATAAGGAAATGTTCCATCTCTGTATGGTCATGAGCACACAGTAGGACCACAGCAGATGCCTGAGGACCACTTAGAGTGGCTAGCAGGGTGGGCACACAATACACAGTTGCGTTCCCACATTGGGTATCGAGCAAATAACAGGCTCACATCAGATGCACGTTCACAGCACTGAGCACCCATCACGTCCACAACAGACTTCCTGGCTTTTTGTTGCAGATGGGAGCATGCAGCTGAGCCTCATCTATGCTCTGATGTCTTCATAATGCTCAGCTTACAGTAGGATGCGTGTTCAGAACACTGAGCGCCTAATAGGTCTACAATAAGTCCCCTTGTCCCTCTTATAGAACTGAACACATAATAGGCCTACAATGGATGTCTGTACCTCCAAGATGCTACCTGGTAGGTTTATAACAAATGTCTTTGTACTTCCTATGGTGCTAAGCGCACACTAGGCCCACACTAGCTCCCAGAGGCCTATGCTGGCCCAGGTCCCTGCAGCTGCAGGAAGGGACAGGTACCAGGCTTTTGTTCCGTGTCATGTTCTCCAGCTCGCTGTGCATGCTCTCCAGGTCTGCCGTGAGCACCTTCTGGGTCTTCAAGGCCTCCTCACACTTGGCTTCACTTTGCTCCAGCTGGACCAGGCAAGAGGTAAAGAAAAGAGAAGAAAATAAGAGGTAGGGAGGGGAGGGGAGGGGAGGGGAGGGGAGAAACCTCCTCATGAAGCTGCCTCCTTGAATGTCCTTTCCCTCTAGCTCAGCCCAGCCCCTCCCAAGCGTGGGAATAATTTACAGGTGACCTCATGGCTTCACAACTATTCATCAACCCACACCTGGGGGAAAGCAAAATATAAGCCCTGCTGTGTTGCCAGGAGCAATACCTCAGTCCCATTCAGCAAATCCTTGATGATGCCCACTAAGTGCCAGGCACTGGACATACACAGAACAATCAAGCTGGCCCCTGCCCTCTCAGTGGGAGACAGGAAGGAACAGCTCATGACAACCTCTTTGTGCAGTACAGGGAAGGGGGACACCAGCACAGTGGAAACGCAGGATGGGAATCGAGGGAGGCTTCCTGGAGGAGGTGCCTTGAAGGCCCACGGAACCAGCCAAGTGGAAGTTTCTTAACCAGGGTTCAGGGTTAAAAGTGGGTCCACAGGCCGCCTTTAAAATGTCATGCAAAATACTCCTCATGTGAGCAGTTAGCGTTTTCCTGGGTTCACAGCTTTCACTAGATCCTCAAAGGCTAAGAGCCACTGACTTAAATAAAGCTTCTCTTTCTCACGTTATTCTTTCTCATTTTTCCTCCCAGCTGCACATAGTAGGCCACCTATCCTAGCAAAGTAGAGTCATCAAAATAAGTCCAATTGCTTATGTACGTGGCCCCAGATGACAGACATGCCCCACTGGAGAAACCCATATTTGTGCACACACCCTAAATCCATTCTGCAATTGGCAGCTGCCTCTTCTGAGCTCTAACTAGCTCATTTTTATTTTATTTATGTTTTTGAGACAGGGTCTTGCTCTGTCACCCAGGCCGGAGTGCAGTGGTGCGATCTCGGCTCACTGCAACCTCTGCCTTCCGGGTTCCAGTGATTCTCCTGCCTCAGCCTCCCAAGGAGCTGGGACTACAGGTGCGTGCCACCATGCCAAGCTAATTTTTGTATTCTACTAAAAGTAGAGGTAGGGGTTTCACCAATTTGGCCAGGCTGATCTTGAACTCCTGACCTTGTGATCTGCCCATCTCGGCCTTCTAAAATGCTGAGATTACAGGCGTGAGTCACTGAACCTGGCCTAACTCAGCTCATTTATAATGCTTAGCTCACAGTAGGATGCCTGCACATTCAGAGTGCTGAACACCTAGTAGGTCTATAATAGGTCCCATTGTCCCTCTTAACCCCTTTTCTGTATCCCTGAACAGAAAACACTCTTAGGAATCATCTAAGGTAAACACTCAGGGCTTAGAGAGGGATGGGCCACAACTCACAAAAGCCCCTTTTCCAGCCCCTGAGAACTATGTATTCCTGCAGCTCGACCAGCAAAAGAGGGCTAGGGGGCCGATTTCACTCAGCAAATGGGAGGGATTGAGACACACTGAGAAAATTGATGTAGAGCAAGGGAAGGTAATTAGCATTGATAAAGCATAATGAACAGAGGAAGTGAGACATCAGGCCTGGTCTTATTTTCCAGCAGGTGACTCAACTGCTTCAGCCATGGCTGGGACGTGGGTGGTAGGGCTCCCCTGAAGACAGGCAGGGCAAAGCCAGCCCCTCTTTTGAGCAGAAGTCAGAGGCCTCAAGAAGGAGAAGTACTTAAACAAAACCTAAAAGATGCAAAAGAAGGGCCAGTCGCAGTGGCTCACACCTGTAATCCCAGCACTGTGGGGGGCCGAGGCGAGAGGATTACCTGAGGTCAGGAGTTCAAGACCAGCCTGACCAACAGGGTGAAACCTGTCTCTACTAAAAATACAAAAAAAATTAGCCAGATGCAGTGGCACATGCCTGTAATCCCAGCTACTTGGGAGGCTGAGCCAGGAAAATTGCTTGAATCCAGGAGGTGGAAGTTGTCGTGAGCTGAGATCGTGCCATTATACTCCAGCCTTGGTAACAAGAGCAAAACTCCATCTCAAAAAACAAAACAAAGAAAAACAAGATGAAAAGGAGATGGCCATGTGCAGAGTGCCCTGGGCAGCAGCAATAGCACGTGCAAGGGCCCTGAGGCAGAGACAGGAACTAACCGTGGTGCTGAGAAACAGAAAGCTCACTAGTGCGGCTAAGCAGCTGCACAGAGAAGGGGAAGAAGAGGAGATGCTGAAGATAGGGACAGGGGTCCCATCACTGAGGCTTGTGAGCCGGGCTGCAAAGCTTAGTTTTTATTTCAGTCTGCCAGGAAGCCATGGATGGTTTTTAAGGAGGTAGGTGGCATGATCTCCCTCTGGCTGCTGTGGGGAGGGTGGGACCAGATTGGAAATAGGGCAGCCAGTGAGGGGGTCGCCATGGTCCTGCAGGAAGGAGGCGGTGGAGGGGCTCTAACCAGGGTGGAAAGGGTGGAGGTGGAGAGAAATGGAAGAATCAGCACAGCAGGATGTGCAAACAACTAAAGGTCTGGGTGGCAGGAGCAGATGGGCCATCAAGGGAGATGATGTCAGATAACTAATGGTGGAAGAGGAGGCCTCACGCAGGGCCCCTCTGCCAGGCCAAGGAGCTGGGCCGGGAGCCAGGAAGCAAGAGAGAGTCATTGTAAATAGCGCAACAGGGCAGAGCAGAACACAGTGACACAGTTCCCATCTGCCCAGCCTCTACTTCAGCATAGGGTTTCAACACCAGGACCCCGCCGGTCCTCGGAGACCCCGGAGAAAGGAGGCTCTATTTTTTATCCCCATTTTACAGATAGCATAATGGTGTGTGATCCAGAAATGCTCTTTCCTTTCCCTGCTTCTCTTGGAGCAAGCAGGGAGAGGGATGACTTATCCCAGACAGAGACGAACACAGAGCAGTCAGTGGAGACAGCTGCTGGCCTTCTTAGCTCATACAGGGCTGGAGATGGGATTATCTTGGCCCTGATGGTTTTGGCATTAGCAGCCCCACCTGCTACTGTTGTATGGGGACCGTGTTCACGGCGCTGTGCTTTCTCTGCCTTGCTTCATGAAAGCCTCACAGCGCCTCTAAGAGAAAGGTGCCACCATTAGGACCTTTTGATAAAGGTGGACTCTGAGACACACAGAAGGCAAGTGACTTCTTCACTATCACGGAGCTGGTCTGTGGAGAGCCTGCTTGATGCCAGAGCTCAAGCTCTTAACCACTGAGCTGCACTGCCCCTCAAAGAAAGTCACTCGCTGGAAGGTCTGACCACACAGATAGAATGGATCAAAATATAAAGAGAGCACCGTTGCAGAGGAAACAGCTCAGCGGTTTGGTGCTATGACAGAAACCTCTTAGGCAGCACCAGGAGAGAATGGACTAAGTTGGGAGTCTGTGAATGACGGAACTCAGAGTTTGAGCAAATGTGGTGGAAATATTGGATGCAATGAGTTCTAAATTTCTCTCGAAAGAATCAGTATGTCATTATGTTCAGTTATTTGTCCTTTATTTTAAAGTTTAACTTCCTTGTAATTCCAGCAAACAACCTTCTCCACCGGTTCTAATCAGTCATTCATGTCTGTTCCCCCTGGCTCCCGGCTCCATCCTGACTCATACCAGTCACAAGCTTTAGTCACCTGCTCCGATCACCTTCCTTTGGCCTAGGTCCCCCTGGCTTTTTGCTCTGACCCACACATAACCATCCTTCCTGCCAAACCAACCACCCTGCCACTCCAGCTCAGACCCCTAATCTCTTTAAAATAGCCAATCAGCATTAGTCTAGCTTGTGCGGTCTAACCCTAGCCAATAGGAGAATGACACAGCAGTAGGGGTGATCCCCATCAGGCATCAGTACCCCTTTTCCTCACTTGTCCAAACGTGCAGCCACCATTGCTCCATCCGTGAGCCACACCCTTCTATAGAAGTAAACTGCCTTGCTGAAAGGATTTATCTTCAAGTGCTATTTCTTTTGCAGCATTGAAATTTTACTTATAACAGAAACATGCATCATTCCTGGAACCTGCCAGAGATGAACACATTCATTCCAAAGGAGAGAGGAAGGAAAGCAGCATCATCAACACTACGTGCCAGATTACATCGTCTGTGTGGTTCAGAACTTGGGTGTTAGAGCCAGACCTGAGGAAGTCTGCTTCTCCCAGCAGCACAATCTTGCTAAGCCTCAGTTTCCTCCTCTGTAAAATGGGAATGGGTCCATCATAGGATCCCTGCAGGATACACAGGTGAAAACATGCAAAGTGCTTACATAATGTCTGGCAGTGAGAAAACATCACAAAATGGTAACAATTGTTGTGAGCTCCTTTTTAATTCCATTTTAGAGAGAAAGAAAATGAGGCAGAGGCCAAAAGAATGGGCCAAGTTTACAGTCAGGATAAGCAAGGCCTCGGCACTGACCATCTTAAGGAGGAATTTTAGCCTTCCTGTTCCACTGGGATGGGTAGAGGAAGGTCAATGACCCAGAAACCCACAAGTCAAGCAGGTCTAGATTTTAATAGGATATGGATGGGCGAGACCAGGAATTTCCCACCCCAAGACCTCCACAGGGTAAGCCCTGGACTGCTGCTGACAAGCTGTCTTCATGCTGAGCTTTAAAAGTTTCAATTTATGACACTTTAGGGAGCAGAAAGAAATACGGGGCCACCTCTGGCTGATTTTCTATTATGGATGACCCAGCCTAAGAATAATTCACTGCACATTATTTCTATATGGAGGCTGCTGACTGATGTTTTTATGAAGTCGGTGGCAAGTCACGTGAGGACGGAGCTCAGAGCCTTCTGTGGCCCAACACAGGTCAGACACGCCTTTGAAATGGCCTTTCCCGGAGGAGCTCCAGGCGGAGCCATCAGAGAGCAGTGGGGAGTAACGGGGGCTGGGTTGACAGGCGACAGGGAAGAATTATTGACGTTCACTCTCCAACCCTTGTGGCCAGTGTGACAATGAGGACCTGAGGTGACAGCTGACACTTCCCACCTTTCAACTCCAAGTAACCATCACGTCCCCACGGACAAGGCCTCTCAGGGTGGAGAGGTTCAGGGTGAA